AGCAAGCCTAGTAATTTTTTGGATCATAAAGATTCGTAAAACTAAGAGAACCACATAGGCTTCTAATCTTTTTAGGATGCTGCTCAATTAAGGAAATCTCTTTTTAAATCTGACGGTATTATAACGCACATCATTTGACGATAGTAGATGACTGACGTAATCAAATTCGACAATTGCAGATGATCATTATTTATTACGTGATTTCCAGCATCAGCCGTTTCCAGCATCAGCCGCGACAATAAACGAACCATCTAATCAATTTATAAAAGAGACAATAACTGAACTATCTAATCAAGTTATAAAAGAGACAATAAATGAACTTAGCCAATAATTTTAATTCAGCTGACAAGGTGGGTAAATTTGACTAAACTCTAATCGGCTTATTATTACTTTGCTTTTGTTTATTAACAATTAAATGTTTATTTCAAATGCGTGATTATATGCATGAATAACGAGTTTTTGATATCTAATTGAAGCATTACTTTGTCATCAAACTTTTATTATTATGGTTTTGGTAATTCGAGTTTTAAGCATCAATTGATTAAATTTAGACTATTACTATTTGGATAATTGCGCTTTTGTTTGTATTTTAAGTGTCAATTTTTTAAAATACATGAATTAGACTACTATAGTTTGGGTAATTGGCTTTTGTTCAAGTGTCAATTTTTTAAAATACACGAATTAAACTATTACGGTTTGGGCAATTGGCTTTTGTTCAATAATATTTGTAATTTTTTGTTTATTATATGACTTTAAAAGTTTTTTTTAATAACAATTAAAATCCTTGAAATCGCGTAACTATACTTATGGTTATTATTAATCAAAACTCATTAATTAAGATGGCCTTGAAAGTGTATTGATAACAAAATAAGTTCGCGCTATAATAGCACGAATCTATTTATTGTATTAATGTTGATATTTCTATATAATAGCATCTAATTTCCTTTAAGTTTATAATCCACATCTTTTTATTTCACAAAAATGCCATCTAGACGCTCTCGTTCAAAACAGTTGAATATAAATAATTTAAAAGCACGCATTTATAACGAAAATAAAAAAAACAACTCAGTGACGTATATAAAGAACATAGAAAACAAATCAATGAGTATTTGAAAAGAAGTAATCAAGTGTCCGAATTGAAAAGTATTAAAAAGGAAATGGGAGATCAAACATCCAAATTAGAAAGCGTTGAACCAGAAACAAGAGATCAAGCATCCAAATTGAAAAGCGTTAAAATGGAAATAGAAGATCAAGTGTCTGAATTGGAAAGCGAAATAAGGATCAAACATTGGAAAGTGCTAAAATGGAAAACACCTGAATTGGAATAATGGTATAATGATAAATACTTTTGGAATTTTAAATTGGTAAATTTTTTTTGTTATTAAATTATAATATTAAATATTTAGAACTTCATGTTGTAGCTAGTTTGTTATATCGAAAAATAAGTTTTAATAAATAGTTTTGATAATTAAATCCACTAGAGTGACTTGTTACGTGAAATAATTTGATTGTGGTCGAGATTTAATCACTAAATAATATCAATAAATTAATAAATTGTAACGCAAATGATGCAATTAATTAAAGGCAGAAGGTTGGATAAGTAAATAACGCAAAAGTATCGATTTCAAAGATAATAAGCGTTAACGAAAGTATCATGGCACAGTAAAACAGTTATAAATCAAAGCAGTTCTCTTGATTAATGACAAACACTATAAAGTGATTATAATAATTTTCTTTTATTAATAACAAGCTAATACTTTAATATCAAATTGCTGAAAAATCGATTCTTCTAATATTAAAGATATCGAAGACTGAAATTTTATATACATTTGGTAGCTGCATATTTTCGCAATAGTTCTTTCTCCTATGGCCATTTACCCGGCATCACATAGGGCTAGCATAACATTTAATTAGTTGCAGATATATATTGTTGATAAATTGTTACCTGCGTGATAGCAGATAAATAGCTGAAGAAATGTAACGTGATCTACAAATTTGTATAACCAATATCAAACTATTTAAAAAAAAATTGCTCTTTTAGTTTAAAATTTAAGGTCTTCTGAGCAATTGTGTAAAATTTTAAAAGAAGTTAATATGGGTTATTGTGTAATGTTATGAGTATTCAGGCCAAATTTCTTGAATTGAAATATCGATGTTTAATCAATTTTAATAATTGAAAACTTTGAACGAGAATTGTAGTAAGTTGTTATATAATATTATATAACCAAACTTGCATTAATGGTAGAGTATCTACTCAAGAATATGGTCCAATAAATTATCAAAGTTTGATCAGAATTCTCTGAATACTCATAATGTTATACAGTGATCTATATGTAAAATATTGAGTAGATACAGTTTGAAAATTAATAGCTTCTTATAAAAACATTATAAACATTTACTAAAATTCAAACTGTATCTCCCCGATAATTTACAGATTAACTTCTTTTAAAATTTTACACAATTGCTCAGAAGACCTTAAATTTTAAACTAAAAGAGCGATTTTTTTTTAAAAAAAAATATACAATAAAATTGATAAAAAAGGTGTCAAATTTTTAACTTTTTAATATAAATTCTCGTCTTTGTTACACAAAAAATTTTACTAATTATTATTTTTACTATATACCTATACATATATTTGATATATATACATGATTAACAACCCATCCACCAGAGTGATTTTACAGTACATAATATATGATATATAGTATTATCACATCTATAAAGTTATATAAATACATCGCGTAGATGCAATGCCTATTTAATTCATTTCAGCATTTATAACTTTTCTTAATTAGGTAACAAATTTAATACATACGTACGTACGTACATCTGGTATGTACTGTACGTAAATCATTCATTTGTCCATTTACATTGTTTCCAAATATCCCAGTTAACTATTAACACTTTATCTGCAACCAACTTTTCTTGAACCTGTATTTTTTGATAATAGGTTTCCAATATACAATTGGGTACTGATGCTTCTTCTACCCACATAGCTTTATTACTTTCGTTACTGACCAAAAATTCATCATGTCGATGGTTGTGAACGAATACATCATTGCCTACTTGGAAATCTTGAATATCCGAAGAAGGTTCTACAGATAAGTTAGACTTCTTATATGAACATTTTCGAGTATGGTATTTCAAGTTTCTTTTTAAAGCAAAGTACTGATTACAATAGGGACAAATATACTCGTTAATCGATTTGTTGATAGTTGGGCAGTACCAATCAAAAGGAAAGCACCGTAAATTTATATCCGGAGGAATTAATTTTCCTTTCATTAATGTAGATAAGAGAAAATTGAAATAGTGAATTGTATTATCAGATACATTTATGATTGCTGCGCAAATACCATTAGGCTTTTGTTGGACTATAATTGGTGGTAGGAAAAAGCGATTTGGTAAAATTTAACAGAGTTCACTTCGAAAGGGCCTGCAACAGCTTTGATCGTCACATTTTGTAACTTGAGTCATGTAATGACTAGTTATTACATGCTTTTCTATCCAACTTTCTGATTTTTCACTTGGGTAGTGATGTTCTTCAGAAGGATCTATATACTTAACAAGAACCGGGTAGCTATCTATAATTGTATTTTCCCATACTGATGTTAAAGCATCTCCAGCTGCTTTAAAGTTACGTTTCTCTAATTCATCATCTTTTGTTTTTAACTGTGAATCTAAATGAGTTCCAAAAGTATCATGTGGGAGTATAACACCAGCTAAGTCATGACTTAGAGGTGCCATTCGCCTTTCAACTAGATTTGATGCACTTTGGTATAGCACGAAGCATGCTACAATAATTGTATCAAGGTCATATTTGTCAAAATGTTCAATCATCATTTGAATTGTCTTTCTATATCGGGGGTTCTTGTCGGGACCACCATTGCTTAGTAGTACTACTACAGGTTTTGGTTGTTCGTCTATTGTTGTAGTGTAGTCGCATAATTGCTCCTCACTCATAAGGTCATCGAAATCTTTTCCATGAGAATATGCGGTACTACTATCATGTTTACCACTGCGGATTCTTATAAATGTTGGGCCCGAATATGTTATCGCATCAGCATTCCCATACTTACTCTCTTGCATATCTAATATTGCATAAACTGATGGAATCAGCTTGTGCCTTTCAGCAACAACCCAGTTATGATCCGGAAGTTCTATTCGATATTCCAGCCTCATAAGAATTGGTGCTATATGAACAAGATTATTTATTATTAGATTTTATTTTTTATTTTTTATATTTTAAATTATAATTTTTTCTATTTTAGATTATAATAACCTTGTTTGTTGACTACAGCTAAACCAAGAGGTATTCGTGCTTTGTTATCTTGAGATATTACTAAAACACACTTTGGGCTCAATAACGATACCATTTCTTTTATATTTCTTATTAAGGCAGCACAAAAACAGGTATCATTATGACTTCTTCTTGCTATATTTCGTGACTTTAAAAGCTTTACTGGCACAGTTTTGATATACCGTCTTCCCTCATCAGTATTATGCCGTCTTGGAATAAGCCTAAGGTATGTTGCAGAGCATAACAATTTATAGTTCATATTTGTTAGCGCTTCTTGAAGTTGATCTAAAGTTTTGATAGATCGTACTATTTCTGAATGTCTTCTATCATCAGCCTGTCCATCTGAAGAAATGATTTGAACAATAGTTTCTAATAGGCCTGGTTGTGTCTCTTCTAAGCTTGGATGGCCAACCGTTGGCCTAACAAGCTGTGTATCGAAACTAGAGATTGGAACCGTCTAAAATTTTTCTTAATCATTTAATCATTTAATCGTTTAACCGTTTAACTTGGCCGGCATTAAGATAATTCCGGCCCACAACCAATATAATTCTGCCTGGAATTATGGTGCAATTTTTAAACGGTTAAATGGTTCCAATTCCTAATCGAAACCTGCTTCCTTAAGGGTAGGGTGTACAAATTTCCAATTTCATATAAAATAGATTGTAGATCAACTTTGTGTAACGAATTTTATAT